CAAATTGACCTATAAATTTGTTTTATAATATTTTTAATTATACCAAAATAATAAAAGAATAAAATATGTTCCAATTTTATGCATTTATGTCAAAAAATTGTTAACCTGGTACTGTCTGCAATATAGGAAACTGAATGGACTACATACTGATTTATTCAACTAACTTATTCTCGTAGTAGAACTCGCAATAGAAGTAACTTATTTATTTTTCTTGGAATTATATTAAATGCAATACAAACGGTAAATTTCACTATTTTAATCATATAGTCTTTCATTTAAGGACTTAATGAGAATTATAATCATCACTTATTGCATTAATATGAATCCACAATAAATATTAATTTTAATTTTAGTAAAATTGCGTTACTTGAATATTTATGTTAAATAGGTTCTAAAGCAATTTCAGATGATGAATTTGCATTAAAACTTAATTAGATATGACATAAAATATGTTTCTTGATATAAACTATACAATTTAGTCAACTCTTTATATTTGAATTAAAAGAAAGTCACACTCCCTACAATTTTTAAAGATATAATTCCTTCTACATATTTTATATTTGCACCATCTTATGAAACAGATACTTTTCTATATGAAAACACTAGGAGAATGGAGTACTCATTTCCTATTAATATTAATAATTATTCAACATATAGGGAGTTTTTTGTCAAACAGTAAAGTCCACTCCCTTTCATTCTTACGTTTCAAGAAGACTTAAATTATATTCACCTATATTTAGATATAGACACATAAGGCGACTCTTTGCGCCAGGATTATAATTCTCAACTTGAATATAATAAGAACAACAGAACACTAGAATTACAGCGACTAGCTATTAAAGTTTTTGATCACCCGATTTCCGAAAAAATAGACATTTTCATCACAGTGACTTGGATCTGCTTTTTTTCTTTGTCAGGATTTCAGTAACTATGAAATTTTTGAATTTCGCGAGAAATATTGGGTTGATTTTCATAATTGTCATGTAGAATTCGTTATTTACACAATGCATTAATTTAAAGAATAACCTACACCATTTTAATTTATACCAATTATTTATTTATTAATTTTAGCAGAAACAATTTATTTATATTGAAATTAATTTTTTCACTTTACTTGGGTTTATTTGTTATTTCCCGATGTAGTATAATGGTTAAATGGCAGTAAAATGGCAGCGTCGGCATATAATCTTTACCTGTGATTTTTAATGTATTAAGATTTCCGCTAAAGGATCAGAATATCCAAAAGGAACATATTCCTAATGATATACCTACTCACTGCAATATTTAATTGTTTTCGTTCTTTGAGTTATTAATTACATACAACATATAATTCTTTCTATATACTTTATATTTTATCCTTCCTATGAAACAAATACTTTTCTATATCAAAAAACTAGAAGAACAGATTTCCAGGTAGAATAGCATTAAGTAGTAATTTTTTATAAATATTAATGATTATTATGAGTAAAGGCTTACCTTAGTTATTCTTAAATTGCTTTATTGCAATTGAAGATTTAGATTATATACACCTAGTTTCGAACACATAAGGCGACTTGTTGCGCTTAGATTATAATTGTTTGAAATTATATTTGAAACCGATATTCGCAGACCCTACACCGAACTCCGAAAAGCGATGCTTTTACCAGAGTAAATTGGTTTTTTCTCTTCTACTTTACAAATATTTATTGTATTAATCAAAAGAACAATTACTGAAATAATAAATAAAGTATATTCTAACTAAAAATTATTTAGGAAAGATTACTGGAAGTGATTTATTTAACTGGATACTGGTAATGATTTGGAACTCAGTTTACACTATATTGATGGGATAATATTTTGATCCATAATTTATTTTATTCATTTTATTTTAAATTAATTTTTAATTCAAAAAATGTTTGTTATTTATTATTCACTGAAACGAGTTCCCACAGAACTTATAAAAACTCTGAAACTTCACCTAAATCTAAATTGAAAACAGTATTTTCTTGTGTCAGATTAGCTTACTAAGGAATAATACTTATTATTAGCATTATTTTCTGTTTTTATTTTGTTATTTATTATATGCATTTTTTAATTATAGATCTTACGTAATAAAACACTTTTTATAATAATCTGTACTTTTGTACAGGTTATTAGTATTGCTATCTTTTAACAACACTCTAACTTCTTCTTTGAACGTAATCGATATATCAAACGAAAAGGCCATGCTCTATGAAAATCGGGCATATCCCAATAATATGCCATATATTTTCTATATATTGACGATTACACAAAGAATAACGCCGTTCAGATATATTAAATTCTCTGGCGTTGAACTTATAAAACCGCATCTACATCGATATATACTGCATGTTTACATAATGAAAATGCCATATTGCAAAAGGTGGATACATGTTATGGGATCTCGACAAACATTCACTACAAAGGATTCGAAAAAAAATTATATTGTGTCATAATTTACGATCTAAACTTCAAAAATTGGATATAGAAAGACCGAGTTCCTAACACTTATTTCGCCAATCTTAGGCCCAATATATTTATTTGGCAATCATAAGTTTAGCTAGTTTTCAAAGAAGGTAGATCAAGAATTTTTCTTTCATATTCTAAATGTCTCTAAACACATTTAGAATATGAAAGCTCAGAATATGAAAGTTAGCTCACTAACTAGGCTTACTGTTGCTTCGAAGTATAATTACGTTACCTCCTCGTGTACAATTATCCTGAGTGATAAGTGATAAGTTGAATAATTTTTAAATTTTATGTAAGAGGGTGTAGTAAAATATGTGATCCACTCCGTTAGCAGACGGTACTCTGTTAGAATTGTATATAATTGCATTTTGGCGTCTGTTTGTGGATAAGACTCTTATCGTTTAATAAATGATAATTGCATTTAATAAATTTATTTATAGAAGTATCCTCAGAATGGAATAGCCAGACTTGTTGCAGACGAATATGTTAGGAGATGATAGACACGTGTCTATAGTACATTTATTATTTCAGGAAGATTTTCTAAATCAATTTTCAAAAAATAATTACTTGTACGATTAGACTTACTTTTGTAACAGACATGAAAGAAAAATTATAATTCTCATTTAGTTAACAATAAAATAAACATAAAAGTATCTAAGCATTTGTATAAGTTTGTACTTTTAATACAACTTTTTTCTTAAGAATAAATTTCTACAAATGAGCCATACACGGCGACTGATGACTATCACTTCGTATATTAACTTAATCCAATTTCTAACTAATTAATCAAAGTTGAAGCTGTGTAGTTGTTGTTGTATATATAATAAACAAATCAATCACGTCAATTAAATGATAAAGGATGATGAAATTTTTATAGAATTTTTATCGAGAAATTCAAGTTATAAGATAAGTTCCAATTTCAGTGGCAGTTGAACTAATTTAAATGAACTGAAATAAAAATGTATTTTAAATGACGAACATAATGTTTCTAGGATTAGTCCCAATAATTCAGTTCATATACATTACGTTTATGTGATTTGGAGAATCAGTTTCAGTAGCTCCGAAAAGTTTTGAGAGAAATGACTAAGTTCTGGGTAAGTAAAATTTTGGAATGCATTTAAAACGACTTCCATCGAATATGAATTCTCCAACTTACTCATTCTCGTAGTAGAATTCGTAGTAAAAGTAATTTATTTAATTTTTCTTTTAAATATATTAAATTCAACACACACGGTTAATTTCACTATTCTAATCCTATAATTCTTCATTTATAAACTTCGTAAGAATCACATTCATCAGATGTGACATAAAATATGTTTCTTAATATAAACTATACAATCTAGTCAACTATTTATATTTGAATTATTTGTCATACTCCCCACAATTTTAATAAAAATAATACTTTCTATACATATATAATACATATATCCACCATCTAATAAAACAAATGCTTTTCTTCATATTTTCATACATACTTAGGTTGTCCTTGGTTCCATACAGAAATAAAAAATATGCTGTTTGGAAGAAATATTCCCTGAATTCAATTGGATGCGATTTAAAGTAGCTAGAAATTTAGCTTCATCGGCTATTTATAAAGCCAAATCAACCTTCTTTAAATCCAAACCAGGTGGTTGTCAGCAATCAAAGTCTCTTTGGAATAATATTAAATCTCTGGGAATTATATTAAACTCCACAGCTTTGTGTTCCTTAGACTCTAATAACTTAAATTATTGTTTTGTTTCGTCTGTTGGTAATAATTATATATATTCCTGCCAAATATATCATCAACTTTTAAACAAGCTCTAGCTTGACACTTCAATGATCCAAAAGTCTGTTCGATACTGCCTACACCACTACTTGTTTTGGATCCGTCAGTAAAAATGGTTAAACCCTCACTTATAGAGGGACCACCTGACGTCCATAAATCTGTAGATAGAAATTCGACATGGAACTTTCTGTTGAAATTGAGAACAGGAGAGGTGTAGTTAACGTTTTTAGGAGCAAAATTAAATAGATTAAGAATGGAGGCGAGTCCATATTCACTGACACTCCATTGTGAGAAGCTTTGAGTCTAAGAACAGATGAAGCTGCCATTTGTGTACTATTGATATCGAGTGGCTGTAAGGATGGTGGCAATAGATGGTGTGGTGCATACAGCCCCACTTATACAGAGTTCACTTCTTCGTTGAACTTCGCTGACTTATCGCTTTCAGTTTTGATAAATTATTTGTGTTTGCGTTCTTAAAAACAAAGAGCAAAAATAAACTCCGACATTAAAAAAAGTGGTTGTTAGTTTGTAACAATTTGTTTTTTACAAATTATATTAAAATGTATGTCTCAATATGATTACCAATATATATTAAATATTTTTACATACCTGATGAAAAAAAATTTAATCAGTTTCACATAAGAGACTTACCCATCTGTTAATTATAAAATGTCAAGAAAACAATTTATAACATGTGATTAAATAATCACAGTTAATTTTATTTCATTAATTTAATTATAATAGCTCCAACATAACAATAACAATTCAGGTAAAGTTTTCAGATTATAATATATAGTTTCATAAAAATATTCTTCGATTAATTAAAATATTAATTCGATTAATGGGCGTAATTCAGCACATTCGTGTTCTGTTTCCTCCTCCCCGCACTGTTTATATTCTGTACTCTCTTTATCGTTACGCTCGGTATCATCATCATCATCTTCAGCATTATTATCATCACCCTTATCATCATTATCATTACCCTTATCATTTTTGTTATCGTCACCATGATCATCGTCGTCGTCAATGTCATCGTTATCGTCAATGTCATCGTCATCGTCAATGTCATCATCATCGTCAATGTCGTCATCATCGTCATCGTCATCATCTTCAGAATTATAATCATCATCGTCGTCATCATCTTCACTTGGAACCAGCTCCACACAAGTGGTCTCATCAATACTAGAACTACTACAATTATCCTTTCCGGTGAGTAGTTTTTTCCAACGTTTCGTGTTTATTTCCAGTTTACTTTTGGTTTCCTCACCGATCACACCAATATCCATCCAATATTTTCGAGCTTCGCTTTTCTTTCGTATTTTCGCAAGGCTTTTGTGATGAAAGTATAGATAAGAAAATAATTTATAAGAAAAGACAACAGTATGTTAAATGGAAAATACTGTAAAATACTGTAATTTCTAATAGGTACATATTTAAAGCTAATAGATTCAAGTTATAATATTTATAGCCGAATAAAGTTCTTACATATTTTTTCCAACTCCAACTAAACATTTCGCTGACATATTTGGAAGTAAATGCTTGTACTTGTTTAATTCATTCTTGAGGCGTATCATATCACGCCCGCCAGCACAAGCGAAATATTCATAAAATTTACCGGATGGACCAATTTCGAATAGTTGTGGTCCATCCTTTTCTGTATGTGTTGCTAAAACAAGAGAACAACCCAGGGGACGTTTACGAGTATCTTGGGTAAAGAGGTGTACATATCTAGATGTGATCTCTACTAGCGGAAGTAATGGCATAGGTCTGTTATATTCCCTCCAATGACGTGTACAGTCAAGTAGCATTCTCCTCATCAAATGTCCGGCATCTGGCTTAAAACCAAAATATCCACAACAAATAGTGTCATTAATTGATTTTAAACGCCGAAGACTTTTTCGCACATACAATTTATTTTTTTCTTTTTCTGTAATTAACACAACACTGCGTTTTCCGCGCAATGCTATAATGTTTTCACCTTTCTCAAGGGCTTTCTCCGCAAACGACAGCTGTTCCAAGTTTCCTTCCGCATTAAACTGTGCAGGAATGCAGGGAACCACCTTAAGTTAAAAATAAGAAATATAATATATTTTATATGTAAATTTATAATGTTGTTGTGAACCGAAGGAAATTTGGAGAGCAGGAAAAATGTATGGACTGACAAACAAATTTTTGCGTTACGGCATGCAAAGTGATTTTTTTTTGTTGCAATGCACCTATTGATATATGGTTTAATCTCACTGAAGTGTTAAGTCTGTATCACGTTTCATAAGCTAATTTTAAGTAGCAACACACACATCCTCATCCGTTAGTAATCACACTTGAGTTGTCTTCTTCCCTCTTACCTTTCGTCCATTCTCAATACATAATGCATTTAAGGACCTAAGCGGCCACATCCTAAACTCAGTCGAGTTAAGATAGTTATTATTATATGAGAAAAGCACCTTTCGAACCCATTGATTTCTGGTAGAGCCCTGTTAAGGGATCTGATTATCTGCATTTATTCCTCATTTATATTCAATGAAACTGATCTGATGTATACTGATCTAAGCTATGGAGTTCTAATTTCTATACTTACTTCTTCTTTCTCAACTGGCTTTTTACATTCCTTCACATTTTCCTTGATTAAATTCATTTTTAAGCGAGTTTTTTTGAAACAGACGCCACAAAAGTTGAATTCTTATATTATATTTCAACTTTTTCGTAACTTTTTTATTTTGACTAAATATTAGATTTTGTTTATTTTAAATTAAGTAAAAGTCTTTTTATACAGCTTTTGTTCTTGTGACAGTTTTTTTTAACTGCTTTAAATTTTAGCAACAATTTCAACTTATTCAAAATTTCAATCCTGATTAATTTTTATCTTTCAAAGTTTTTTAAAATTATTTTATTCAAAGCATACTTTATTTTTAAGAAAATCAAAACAAGCTTATAGAAATCCTTTTACATTCATTCTTTTACAAATCGGACACCTTTTTGATCTCATCACCTCCGATTTGGCTGAAATTAAATTTATGAATTGGTTTCGTAAAATAAGAAGACCCGTGCCTTGAGAAAAAGTTTTGAATTTTTTTCCAAGGAGATATGGACCCATGAGATGTGGACAATTAGCATTGTAGACACATTTTTAATGGCCATATCTCAGGTTTCGTATATAATAGGTGAGGTTATACCGGCGATCCCAGGGGGATCCACTTCGTATAAAATAAAAACTTAAAATTTATTGCATTTTAAAAATAATTAATTGAAATGTTAGGAAATAATATAAACAATTAAGAGTGCTTTTATTCAAGTACTATTACTAACATTTTATTATTATTTTTTATAGTTCATTTAAATTCAGTTTTAAATTTTATTGAGAAATAAAAATTTTTAGGATGGCATTATGTTTTGAAATTTCAAGATTTTTTTTTTTTTACCGCAAAATAAATGTTTCCAGCTTGGTGTTGTTTTCAGAAGTGTCTAAGAAGAATTGATTTATCAGACGCCTTGCACGTTACTCATACGCACCATAACACCAATAAATCAATTTTACACAAAAAATGACACAAAAACTTTTACTTTTTAATTTTAAATTGAATTTATCATTAAATTCTATATAGAAATAAAACTTTTTAGGACGTATGACGTTTTTTTCTTGTGAAAAAAACAAGAATTTTTATTAAATAAATTATTTTCGTGTCATCTCTATTTTTAAATCACATATTTAAAATATTCAATATTCCTTACATTGATTCCAGCACTAGCGATGAAGAAACGTTACATTGTTTTTTTTTTTTTTGTTCTAATAACACTTAGCATACTTGATGTTAGTGACTAAAAATAAGCGCATGAAGTAAAAACTTCCTTTCTTAACTATCCTGCTAAAGAGGAGTCTTATATCAAGTTTAAATCTAGCAATATTCTAATTAAGTAAATTTCAAATAACCGAATCAGTTTTCAGAAAACAATTACTTCGTACGGTTTTAACTATGAGAAAGGAAAAATATAATTCTCATTTACTTAGTAATAAAATAAGCATAAAAGTTTCTAAGCATTTGTATAAGTTTGTACTTTTAATATAATTTCTTGTTAAACATTTGGGTTTCGAGTGAAGGTCCTAATAATTCCATTTAGTGACTATTATGTTGTAACTAATTAATTAAAGTTGAAGCTATAATAGCTGCTAAAGCATATATTATAATCAAATCGGCTAACTCAATTGAATGAAAATATATATAGCCAAAAGGTTGATGAAAATTTTATAGAAAAATTTAACTAATAAGCACGGTTGCCACTTGAAAATTTTTTTCTGTACCAAAATTGGTTTAAAAAGGTACCATTTCTGTAAAAAAAGGTCCAAAATTTTTTTATTGTCTTTTTATAAGAAAATACAATTTATATAAAATGTGCAAAAAGTATAAAACAATACAAGTTACATTTATAAAAAAAATTAATTGAAAATATCCACAATAAAGTTGGGTCGCCGAAAATGTACCATTTTTTGAACATGAGTACCAGAGTACCAAACGGAAAAAAAAGTACCAATTTTGGTACTAAAGTACCTTAAGTGGCAACCGTGCTTATAAGATAACTTCAATAACTACTGAACTAATTTAAATGAACTGGGAACTGAACCGTTAAATATATTTTAAATAAAAAAAATATATTGTTTCTAATTAAGACCAGTTCCAATAAGTCAGTGTATATGCACTACATTTATATGATTTGGAGAATCAATTTCAGTGACTCCGAATAGCGTTCCATGCTCGTTTTCAATGAGTCCAAAACTGAATTACTAATTTACATTGGATAAACAAATATATGTTAGATAAATAAATCTGTTTCCATGTACTGAAAAAGAATTTGGAGTTTTTTATAAGTAAATTTAATGATGGGATTAAAACGCCTCGTGATAAAATTTATGCTGATGAATGGTACATTTTCTTTACATAGTGTTGAGGGCAGCACTAAAGTTCGAATTCTATAGTTGACTATTGTTAATTTAGCTATTCTCTTTATTATATCGACTTTAAGAAATCTGAAAAAAAGTAAAGATACGTTTTATACTTGTATCGTTATTTCAATCATCTGGGGTACTTACTTTGTAGTAATAATTATTACTTCTTGTATTTGCTAATGTTGATATTTTTATCTATCTTCAAATAATATGGATTGGCTCTTAATATATGTATATATGTATTTATATTACATATATATTACATATAATATATGTAATATATTAATCTTTCAATAGAGTCCCAACCATTATATATAGTAGTATTATTTATATTTTTAATTAAAATTTTTAAAATTATTCCTTATAAACTTAATTTTATAAATATTGAAATATTATTTTTCATAAATAAATATCTGAGTAATATACAACAATATATGAATAATATAGGACAGATTTTTCTTTGTCTGACGGACAGTATCAACCTTAGTTACGTTTATCCATTTAAGAACCCTATATACAGGAGGTTATGGAATATTTTTATTCTATATAATATGTATACATTCAAGTTAGAAAAAAAAAATATTAAAATAAGTACCTGATGAAAAAAGTCCCAGAATTCTACAAATCAGCACGAAAAATAGGTTGTATGTTCATCATTATTCGCTCACAAATATAAACAAAACTCCGAGCCCGATACACTTTTTAATATAAAAATCTTTTAATAAATGAGGATTCTGATCTCAACACGGATCATTCCGTGTTAGGAGGTAAGTGAAAAGAAGGGCGATTATTTGGGTTAAAGAATGAAAAAGGGAGTTAGACACGTATTCCTAAGGATACGTCTATTCCGTATTAATTTCCTTCAAAGTACCTATGCTCGGGCATCCAGATGAGAGTGTTATCAGTAAGTCGGCTTATTCATCAATTTCTACTCTGTACTCATCAAAGTCTGAGCTAGAACTTTTTGTTAGAGGATTGAAGAAGTTTAGTAGTATATCACTTATTGAATTTTTTTGCACTTGTTTTACTATATTTATAATGTGCTAAGGCTCATGTGAGCAGTTAAATGGTTATATGTAGCGCAACAGTGCAATACATATGATATGACTACCTCATAAGTGGAACTCAAGTACAATTTATTCTGACAGAATAAACGACAAGTTGGCAGTTTTCGTAGGAATACTTTTTTCTTCGATATCAGCTGATTAAATTTATTCTTATCACCATTTCCGACTATTTCGGTGGCTTAATTTAGGAATGAAAATAATAATAAAGTTTAGTTGTAAAGACGAACTCAAAACATGCGTTTTATTTTTATATATATATATATATTTATATACATATAAAATTTTAAATATAAATTATAACTTTCTAATATAGATTTATATCGCCAAGGTTAGTTGGTTATTTTAATAGGCCCCCATATATCTACTTTACATTTTTGAAAAAAACTTCTTTATTATATATTATAAAAAAATATGTTTATTTGTTATTTAAATTTTATCTTTACATATAATTATATCTGTATGATAATATATCGATGATTGCTTAGAATGTCTTATATTAAAATAGTTCGATTCATTAAAAAAATTATGTGGCATACATTTTCTGTGCAAGTTGCACAACTTGCTCGACTTTATCTTGGCTTGAAATACTGAAAGATTGATTTTTATTTAAAAAAATGTTTACATGTTGAAGTACAAATGTACTTAGTCATTTTACAGATATCTATTAATATAACATCTATTTATACATTTATATATATTCGTATTGTATTCGTTTTGAATTGGAAGAACTGTGTGATATTCTGAATTGGCACTTGGTGATAGCCATGAGCTATCATGGCAAAACTTTAATTGAAGAAAATATTAAAAAACGTTCGTTTAAAATTAATTATAGAAAATCTTATAAAAATAAGTTGTTTATAATAATGTTGTGGTCAACTGAAATTATATTGCTTATAAACTAATTGCTAAGTAGTTAATATACGATGAGGCGAATTCTTGATTTCTACGGGTGCAAAAAACAAACTAAATGCTTACAGGGAATCTCAAAAGATTAGGATTTTCATATATTTACAGTCTTAGAGTATGTGTATATGTATGTGTGAGTACGTGCATGCATGTGCTTTGGGAACCTTTTTAAATACTATAAACAGGCTATTGCCTCTTTCGAAACGGTCTGAGAATATTTTACGCTACCACTAAACGAAATAGCACCTGCGACCAAGAGCACCCGGTCATGAACCGTTTTAAAAAATCGTATTTTTCATATATTTAATTGTGTTTTTTCCACTCAGATCTGGCACATTGGACGTTTAAGGATAACTTAACGCTACAACTACACTAACAGGATAACTTAAGAACTCCTGCAACAACAAAAAATAGGACATGACAATTATTTCTTTTAGCTGCTACTATAGCTCAGCTAACCACATAAATCAAATATTGACAGCAGCACTAGTTGTTGTGTTGTTGTTGTTGCTGTTATTAGTGTTAGTATTGTTGTTGTTGTTGTTATTGTTGCTGCAATTATTGATATTGCTGTTTGGATTGACGGAATTATTGCTGCTATTGTTATTGTTACTATTATTATTGTTGACATTATTGTTGTTGGTGTTATTGTTGTTATTGCTATTACTATTGGCCGCATTGCTGCTGCCATTGTTGTTGTTGTTGTTACTATTCGCATTCATTTTTTTATTAACAACAGCTGCAGTACCAGCATTTGAGCTGCTATTGTTAGCCGTGTTGTTGTTGTTAGTTGCTGTACTGTTGATATTGTGTCCACGCAGCAATTCCATATATTGAAACGGCACATGAAAGCTCTGACCTTTATAATCTACCAACAAATGTCCACGACATGTTGATGCACCAACAACACTGACCGTTTCGCCTTTCTTTAGCTGCTCTGTTGGTGGATTAGTGACTGAATCCTCTGGGAAATTCATTTTCATGATGCGACTTTGTGGATAACCAAGCTTTGAATTGCCATTGATGGTATAGGAGCGAGATGGTGGCACAGGCGGTGGACGCTCCTGTTTATTTGAAATGGAATATTTTTCATTGTCCATTATTTTATCCACAGTGTCAACAGTGCAAACGTTATCAGTAATCGGTACATGCATATGAAAAAAAAAGGAGGAGGAAAACATTATTATTTGACAAGCATTGAAAAAATTATTTATAAAGCTAAATAAAAGTGAAGCTAGGTCTATGCAATAACAGTGACAGTAATAAAAGCTAATATCAAGAATAATCTGTCAGTATGCCGAAACCGCAGAACAGTTCTATTGATATTCAGTTCTACGGTCATACTAGGTATATTGACACCAGATGTATGCATAACATTTCCAAGTTTTATTTGTGTACTAAAAACACGTAATTCTCAAAGGAAATTAATTTGTTTTTATTCCAAATATTGACCATCAGGATATTTCGCCCATCTTTTAGAGCAGGGTAGTCCAAAGCACTGCCCACGACCCACGAGCGGGTTTGTGGACCCGCGACATATTTCTAATTTACCATAATTACGCAAAATTTTTTTGTTGGTGTACTCCGGTAAAATCACATTATTTTTTTTTATGATACACCAAATAAATGAATTTAAATTAATAAATTATTAAAACTAAATTTAGCATCATAACCGTATTTTTATTTTTCTTTCAAACAACTATGAACGTATGTATTTGTTTCTGTGGTCCTCCAATCTATACAGTGATTTGTACTGGCCCGCGATCACATCTGGCCTGGATAGCTTTGTTTTAGATAATTCATGAATACCATGCCAAAAAAAAAAACTCTTTATCTTTTGCGACAAACCATTCGTTCCGCCATTTTACAACTTTCTTCAAAATTAATTGCTACACTGCTGATATGCGTGTGGAGCGCTTGTTCCATTGATGCAAGGAGGTGATAGTCGGATGGAAGGATGTCCCATCCAAACGATTTCAATGTGTTTTTCGCTGGTTTTGCTGTGTGAGTCTGGATCGGACACAAAGCATGAACTTCTTGCCCAAATGATTCGGTCTTGGGGTTGAGAGTTCGGGCTCGCCTGCTAGAAGCTATGATTTTTTCCGCCCGTCATAATTCCATATAAAAATTTTGTGTCATTAAATATGATTTTCTATTGTGGCACCGGGGGACTATTTCATAAGTGACTTTGTGATTTTCCGTTCAATTTGACGTTCAATTACCCAGTTTATTGATCTTCCCTTCTTCCGCATTGCTCTTAAACGTCTGCTGATCGCGCTTCACCAATTGCTGTAGAGTTTGTGTTGCATCATCATCCAATAACTCCTGCAACTGCAGGATTTTGGGGTCTACTAAATCACCAACTATAAATTTTTGAAACCATGATTCATAATTTCTAATCGCTGGACCGTATTTAACTGCCTTTTTCTTTTGATTTAATAAGAAAAGCAATGCGTGCTACAAATGTTCTTTGACATGATCACTGAACGATAAAACAAAGACACTAGTTTTTGGCGGACTCTACTTGTGCATGTTTATAATTTGAAGTTAGACGAACAAAATGACGTCCGTGTGAAATCAATACACTACGCGCTTTTTGCTTGCGCTATCTCTTAGTTAAACCGATAAAAACTAATGCATAGACCTGGTATACTGGGAAGTTATGCTAATGAAGTTTTGTTTCATTATAAAGCTTTTGAATATCAAGAGTATGTGACAGTTACCAGAAACCAAGAGAAACCAGGGTATGATATATACTCGTACTTCAAATTTTCATATAGGAATCAGTCAAATTGATAAAATTTTGGTTCTATATAGAGGCCTGAAAGTATCAAGGATATATGTCAGAATCTCAGTTAAAAACTGGACTAGACACATAATTGTACTTAAAAATTACTTGATTATATGAATATATATATTAGTTATATTGGTTATAGATTGTTTTAGATTAATTTCAGACTGCGGGGTTTAAGTCTGCATCCCATTTTTTTCCAAGACGTTTACGTATCTGGCAATAACGGGTTAAAACTCAAAAAATCATATTTAAAAAGGTTAATAAAAAACTAATTTTAAAAAATTTTTCAAGTGTCTTTCTTTTGATAAAGAGAGGAAATTCAGGCTAGAAAAATTACGATAAAAATGTTTATCTGCTTTTTCGTAGCAAGTTCGTTGCAGATATAAAATTCTTATCTCTTAAATTGTAAATGTTTTATAAAGTTAATGGATTAGTCCTAATTTCTCAACTTTAATCTGATATTGCCATTAACCCAGAAATTCAGAAGAGAAGCGGGTTGCAGATTTGGGGTCCACAGTGGAAACATAAAGTCTGACATATTACAGATATATATATATTAAAAACAGAATACACGGTAATGTCATCATATAAATAGAATGAGACAGAATCATACATATTTGTCGAGATGCAAAGTATAGGTGGTTGTTAGAAACTTTACATGCAAATGGATTGTGAAGCAATCGTTTTTAATATAAGTTTCTAAATGTATCAAAACAAACTTATTTAACTAAATATTTTATTCAAATAAGAGCAAGTAATTTATAACCATTTATAAGAAATAGTCTGACTAGGAGACAAACATGTTCTTTAGTAAAAAAAAAGTGAGAGAGAGACAGAGTTGAAAAAAGATTATTAAATTATTTAAATTTCACACAGCACTTTATAAGCGAAACTCCAATTCCAATGATTTATATAGAACATAAACAAAACGATTATATGTTAACTAAAAAAAGTCATTATTATATGGATTAATCCATCGAAATTTGTATAAAACTATTGGTCCTTAACGAATCAAACGGAGTCGGATCTCTAAGTAAAGTTCAAATAGGCATCATGCTAAATAAAAATCAAAGGTTCACTTAAAGTTTTATTTCTGAGACGTCTATCAACTTTTCAAATTATATCATCCAATGCTTATAAAGCATATACGTAAGATTATAGGACATATATGAACATATGATAAAGCTGCCCATATATCTATCTCACTCTGCAAATTCTGCATACGTCGTTATTGCTGATTGACATTTTGTATACAACTCTTATAAACGCTTTTGGACTATTGAATGAAGTCTCAATCCATGAAGTCTCAACCTCAACCTATTGGTCTTAAATTCTTTCTAACATAGATTATTGCTTTTAGTCTTGCTTCTACTGTTGCTGCTGTTATTGTTGGCGTTGCTATGAATAGACAAGCTAATCTCTTACTTACCAAATCTAATCCAAAGATGTTGCAAGTTTGCTGTATAACTTTCGAGTCGCACTTCTCATTCGGATCTGGAGGTGGTGTGCCAGCAATGGGTTGTGGTCTCGGCCGGGTTACAGTGCTCATATTCGTGCTTTTCGCTGATAAACGCGGCACTACGAAGAAAATAACAAATTGAATAAATATTTTATATTACTTTTTTGATTATTTGCGAACTCCTAAGCATTTTTCCGTTTTTTTATATTTTCTTAATGATAACATAGAAAAACACTTGCGTAGGAGTTGATAAATGTGCTTCGATTAGAAGTATACCATTTTCATTTGAGTCCAAACACAGACAACAACATACTTGTGTCCGCACACAATAGGGTTAGTTGAAGTTATATTGTGACAGATTTGCGGATTTAAATATAATAAATAAACAATAAAAACAATTGAAATGCAATCCATCACAGGTACTGAAGTGCAGGTTTTATTGTTAGAGTCAATAATAGAAACTGGGAAAATTAAGGAAAAAGTGAAAGTTATTGGGTCGTAAAAACTCTTATAGAGAGAAATAATCAAGTTATTAAAATTTGATTTAAATTTTCTTAGGAGAAATTAATGGGCAAACAACCCACTTGGATAAACAACCCGAATGAAGAATTTTAGTAATTATGAGTACTTTCTCACTTTTGACTTACATGCATTTGGTGGTCCAACACCGCCACTACCACTACCAGCGTTAACAGGTTTATTTAGTTTATTTGGTGGCACACCCAAAACGCCAGCACGTCTCCGTTTGGTACCACCCATTTTCTTACGCAACTGCCAACCACGCCAAGTCGCCTGTATGAGAGTAGCACTCTTGCGGTGTATTTCAGTGCGTAAATGTTCCAAGTGTTGACGTATGCCTTCGCTTAGGAACACATGTCGCTTGCCAGGTGCCCAGGCTAAAGTGACCGAACCATCAATTACAGGTGGATTCTCCATTGCATATTGCAGTATCAGATTGCAATCCTCCATTGCTTTATCCTCACTACGTCGCAACAAACGGAATGGCGCTAGCATGCGATAGCGTGCATTGAATTGTTTGAAGCGCATGCGATGTGGAAAGCCGGACGCCATCAAGTTGACTGTCTCAAGCACCTGTAAAGCGCGTATTTGCTTAACAACCGTTAAACGCTCAAAACAACCAGCGCTCTCGGTACTATTGCTACGTATGCAACGCACGAAATGCGGTCTAGCATGCACCAATGTACGTAATAAATTGTCCAAGCGTGTGTGAAAGTCTTGCGTTAAAGTGGACACAGGCTCATCACCATTCAGTAGATCTGTGTGTGAAGTAGGTGAAATACGAAAACTAAGACCGCGCGGAACGCTTTGTACTGCGTACAATGCCTTCAACTCCGAACCGAAGAGATGAGTAGCAAAACCAAAGTTGCATGAATGCTTATAGAAAACTGCGACCAAATCGTCTGGCACCACATCGCGATTGGTATCTAGAAAGTCTGTGGCATCATATTCCACACGACCAGAAAAATGACGTATAATAAACATGCGTGGATCGTGTGGCTCAGCGGAGTGTTTCGTCTCCAGACGCGTGGAATTGCGATGTTGGACTTTAATTTTTGTAATATAACTCTCAGCAGTGCCGCGTACTGAGCATTCCGCATCCAACATACTCAACAAACCAGTGCGCAAGGAAGATATCAAATCAATACAAGGCACATTATCTACATAGTCCACTTCAGTGTCACAAACAATACCTTCATCGCGACACGATTCTACAGAGGATTTGAATATATGCGTGTTGTAGAAATGCTGCATAGTTTCAGCGCAAAGATTGATGCATAGATGTTCGAGTTGTGCATGTGGAGAGGGCTCTTCGAAGCCAAACATATCTAAAATTCCAATGAAACCATCAGTGGCATGACGTACGGCGTTATTAAGTGCTGCCATCGATTTGGAACCGGAATTACCGCCAATTGTTGAAGCGTGCTGAGAGGCAACATCAGCTTGATTATGTACCGATTCATTGGAATCGGAGCTTAACGTACCCAATGTAGAACCTAAACGTTTAAGACTATTTGCCCGACGTACTATGGTAGCAACAGTGCGACAATAGAGCGCTTTCGCCAAACAATCGCGTGTCATGTTAGACATGTTAGCATCACAAACTGATTTCACCAATTGACCGCGTGCGTTATGCGTACGTGTGGTGAGGCCACGGAATAAAGCTGCCGGTGGTACACCCAATAAACTGGCAACAGAATTCAATTCTGCTTCGCCTTTGACATCAACCTCAAGACCCTGAAATATAAGAAAATTTATTACTAACTAAAAAAAACAGAAAATAATAAAAAAAGTATTAAATATATATTAAATTTTGAATTCGTTTCTTGACCTGGTTTTTAACAATGTTTTTTATATATTTTATATTCGGCTATAGGTCACGTTTTTGTTAAAATTAAAATTTTAATTAAACGTTTTTTTTAATATTTTTTAATATATTTTATATTTCGTTCTTGAATGTCTGCAATATAGACAATATATAATATAGACAATCTTTATATATAATACTATATAAATTTGAACGAAGATATACATATTGCCGGAAAGTATATAAGATCTGCTTACCAATTTCTATAGAATTAAAAAAAATGCTATTGTATTATAGACATTAACACACAACAACTGTTCCACTCTGTACAGATAATTGGGTCTACTCTATGAGTAACTATTTTTACTACTAATTCAGAAACTTATTAAAATGTGTTTTCCTTAAAACCCATTTTTTGACCTGACATAGAACTGATATGACATCGTAAGTTCTACTTATGGATATGGTACAGACAACGTATGTTGCACGTACTGCATTTTGCAGAGGTTAGATTAGAATTAGGTTAAAAAGATGCGTGCTGACACTTATCAGCACTTCCACTCATAGGCATATATTCCCCTTTGTGATGCCCTCAAAGACTTTGCCGGGAGAGAAAAGTTGATAACCTTTGTTATCTTCGTGTACTATACTTGTTAAACCATTTGGTTTTCCAGATCAAGTTAAGGAAATCCGAAAAGTTTGTTTTCGTTATCTCTGCCAGACTAGTAAAACAGCGTTCCCCAAAATATTGAAATTGCCTTGTCTGTAGTCAAGGCAGAGACACAGAAAGTGGTTGATGAATTTTACTTCCTCTTCATCTTGGCAACTCCTGCGCAATCTACTTATATTTTTCAAAAGTAATGCACAAAATTATTTATTTAATTTATTTTAAGAATTATTTAAATATTTAGACAAATTAGAATAGAAAATCTTCTTTTATTTAATTTCTTAGAATTCTAAAGAAACAAAAAAAAAAACAAAATTACCTATTAAAATATGACAAATAATAAAAATAAAAATAAGTATTAATTCAATAAATCGAAATTGATTGATTTTATCAATCAATATAACTTCAACAACTTCTCTTTAATTTTTATATATCAATTTATTTAATTATTTATTGTCCTATATAGTATAAAATACATTATAATTATTAATATATTATTAATTTGTGGAAAAAATTTTGAAATTCTCGCTCAGAAATGATTGTGGCAACATAAATACTTTCAGTCGTAAATTACCCTTGAAATCCATCACAGCAAGAATTTAAGAAAAATCGTTGCGGTCGCAACGAGATTTGAACTCTGGTTAACAGAAAAAACTTGGCGTAATATTGCCAACCGCTAGCCAATCTTGCTAAATCTTATCATTTTTACTATTGAACATTTGCCTATGGGTTCAAAAATGACTATAAATAAAGTCACAAACCACTTTGTATAAATATAAAATATCCCATTTTATATACCTAAGACAACAACTCAAACTCGCACAGTACAACTAAAAGTCATATGATATCTGAAACGCAAAATTAATTATACCAAAGACACAAACCTAAATTGAATTCAGAAGTACTTTACGCTAACATAAGCCATGAACTAATTATGTAGAAATAGTGTGAAGTACAGTATTAAAAATAAAATTAATAAAGTTTCTATGACGATAAAAATAAAAATAATAAAAATTAATAAAAAAAATAACAAAAAATAATAAAGAAAATAATAAAATAATAATAAAATAATAATAAAATAATAATAAAATAATAATAAAATAATAATAAAAATAATAAGAAAAATAATAAGAAAAATAATAATAATAATAATAAGAAAAATAATAAGAAAAATAATAAGAAAAATAATTAGAAAAATAATAAAAAATAATAAACAAAATAACAAAAAATAATAGTAAAAAATAATTATAAAATAATAAAAAAATAAAACCAATCAAGAGAAGAATTAAATAAAATTAACCTAGTAATAATGTAAAAAAAAATAAATTTAAAATAATAATAAAATAATAATAAAATAATAATATAATAATAATAAAAGAATAATAAAATAATAAAAAAATAATAAAATAATTATAAAATAATTATAAGATAATTATAAGATAATAAATAATAATATATAAGATAAAAATAAGATAAGATAATAGATAAGATAATAATAAAATAAAATAATATAAATTGAAAAAAAAAAATTATGATATAATAATAATATAACAGACCATTAAAATAATTAATTATATATCAATATCCTAATAAACTATTGAATACAATAAATTTTTTGTATTCATTTTATTACGTTAATAATTTCTATACATAAGAAAGAACAAATCATGCAACAAATAATGCCTCTACGAATAGAATAGTTTTGAAATTTAACAATTAAAAATAAAAAATATAATTAATTAATTAATTCAATTATTCTACAGCTGGTTTATGATTTCGTTCTAATATATAAATACAGCAAGTAAAATTGTTAATAAAAACTTTCATAGCAAAAGTAACAAAACTCCAGCAAAAATATGCGAACATAAAAAGTCAAGTACGGCTTTGGATCAGTTGGTTAAGGTGCGCTGATTCTGAGCTTCATATTTGGCAGGACCCGAGTTCGATTCCTGGTACTTGCAGTCTCAAAAATAATTATTTACGAATAATTAAATATAAGAATTATTTCCAAGACCACTGATGAAGGGTATTTGGCAATACTCGAAACAGCTGTATGGTCAGCCAAAAATTCAATTAATTAAAATAATTTAAAAAATAAATTTTTGTTGTTGTTTCACTTCTGTTCGAAAACCTCTTTATGTTAATAAATTTCTAAATTTAATTTACCTATAATTTAATATAACATTTATTGACTGTTACGCGGTACGAAGTTCGCGGGGTCACCCAGTATAACAATAAAATAATAATAATTAAATAATAATAATTAAATAATAATAATTAAATAATAATTAATTAGTAATAACACGTAAATAAAATAATTATTAATAAATTATTATTACGACCAATATTCAATACGTTTTAAGTGTAAGTGTTTAAGTGTTTATAAGTGTGATTTTTACTTAAAAAAGCATTTTTAATTTTTATATGTTAAATTAACGATCTAAGACTAGTAATAATTTAAAAAAAAAGTATAAAATAATTATAAAATTCTAATAGAACAATGTTAATTAAAAAGTAAGAAGATAATAATTTAAATAATAATAAAATAAAATAATAATAATAAATAATAATATAATAATAAAAAAATATTCAAATTTTAATAATATAATACTTAATTATAATAAAAAGACAATAAAATGTTAATAAAAAAGATTATAAAATAATAATATAATAATTAAATAGTAATAAAACATCAATAAAATAATTATAAATTCTAATAGAACAATGTTATTCAAGATTAATAAGATAATAATATAATAATAAATGAAATAATAATAAAAATGAAATAATAATAATAAAATGAAATAATAATAATAAAATGAAATAATAATAATAAAATTCAAAATTAATAATAAAAGATTAAATTAAAATAAAAAAATCAATAAAATATTAATAAAAAAAATAATAAAATAATAATAAAATAACAATAAAACAATAAGAAATAATAATTAAATAATAACAATAATATAAACTGATGAATTTGTATTTATTTATATACTTATATATGCTGCATTTAAATATAAACTGTATATGCAAAAAAGTCTCCGGATTTTTTAATAAACACAAAACATCATCAATCAATAACAATCCAGGTGCAATACAACTTGATATATTACGGTAGTTTCAGTCCTCCATATCTTTTTCGTAGGGTGATTGAGATATGGCCTTCAACTCGATCAACGAATTTTCTTTTATAACCGCAATCGACAATGTTAGGCGCCTATTTTGATTGATCTATTATATTCGCTAAGGTTTATTATGAAAAACTGATGCACAGTGATTATACAGGCTTTGTATAATCGCTAATCCTACAGAATAACAAATCTAACTAAAATACTGTATAGTCTCGTCTACGTGACTTTTTGAAATTGTAAATTCCGAATACTTCTTACACAAAAATATAAAAGTGTAAAGAAAAAAATATATTACCTGTCCATCAATAAACTGTACATTTCCCAGAAGCAACACAGCAGCTAGAACACGTACAACATCCAAAAATGGAATACCAAGTATACCTAAGCATTGTTTCCAAGCCTGAAATCTGCTAGCATCCTCTTGATCATTTTGTCCCAAATCACCACTTTGTAGGTAACGCAAATTAGCTGTTGAATAGCCTTCTAAATTCAATTTGATGCGTTCCTCTCTACTAAGACCAGCTAACATCTGATAGAATATGTGATAATTTTTCTCCTTTGGCAATGGACGTATAACACGTGTCTGATCCAAAAAATAGCAATGTATCTTAGTACGATAGAGAGCGCCATCGGTGACTTGGACTTCAATAAATTGTCCGATTCGACTTGATTCGGAATTTGTGGTAGTTTTAGCTGAGCCCAATGATCGTAGCACGGTAAAAGCGGCAGCTAAGTGTTTAAAGGCATCCGTTTCAGGACCACCACCGGCAACAGCAAATAGTTGCCGTAAGAGTAGCATCGAGCAATGTGTCTTACCAGCACCAGATGTACCAGATAATATTATTGCTTGCGGATAGCCGGTTTCTGCTTGCTGGCGTACAGCTTCTTGTACTATTTTACGCAATTGCGGTGCTAATGGCAGTGAACGTGTGGATGAAAGTGTCAATGGATTGCCAACATTTAAGTAGGGATTTATTGATAATAGTATGGGTCCAACATTAGTCTGAAAAACGTAACGAAAAATTATATATAATTATTAAAATTATATGATTATTATAATACTAATAATATTATTTTTAGGAGATTTTAATTTTAGGGAGATTATCAAATCAAATTAAATACTGTAGAATTAAATCGAAAGGATTGGAACGACTAATAAATCTATCAGAGATATATATCGACGTATCTATACCGTCGAATTTCCTGATTACTAGAATGAAGTTTTCACAATGCTGTGGAAATCTTCTCCATTCATTCCTAAAATAAAAGGTGGTTAAGTGGATTCAAGTCTCACACGGTGGCTTTCAATGCTTTTACCTACTGTCAAAAAAAAAAATCGAATTTGCAGTTGAATCGTCCTTTTTATCCTTTGTGGGTGATATATGAAACTTGATGAAACTTGGATATGGTTGGAGCTGTTACCCAAAATTAGCCAAAGTTCTTAAGTTGAATGTTGGGCTTAAGTTACAAGATAAGATTGAGTTTTATGCAGCCATTCCAACCCTATAAAGAAACTCTAGTTATTATTAACTGATTTAAATGAAGTCACTTCTTCTCTATTTTCCAAAATAAAGGATATCTTTCAGTCGTTAATGGAACATTGCGTCTACAACTATCACCTACCAGAATTACTTTACTATAAATTAAAAAACATGTCTCCATAAAATGTTGCAAAGTAAAAATTGTTAATTTGTTTATTACATTCCAGATCGGCAACGATGATCATTGCCAACATTCGAATTGAATACCAAACTAGTTGCGGTGCATAAATTTTGATCAAATCTCTTATTAATCCATTTGTGTGTGATAATCATTAAAAGCGTCTGACGCACTTCAAATTCAAACCCATACCGAATACCGAAAACCGAAAGCCGCAATAAAATCATTTTTCCTTATGTTTCGTACAAGTAAAACAAGACAACGCCGAAGTGGAAGAAACCAATCCGCGCATGCGTGCCGAATGCATTTCAGACAGCAACTCAAGCTGCAGCCAACGCGTATAAAAATCCGAATTAATTACTGCAATTTAGTTGCGCCAGCAAAATTATTGAAGGCGCGTCGAAAAGTCAATATAAGCTCGGCCTGAACCAGTTGCCTTCCATTTTGTATGCAACTTTGTAAGTCGCCCGACGGTGAATGTTTTGTTGACACTTACAGTGTTTAAAAACCGTGCAGCGCGTAGACCAAGCGACGTTTCACAAAACCGTTTACGACAATTCTCGCCGGCTGCTGCTTCTGTGACTTCTGTGGCCTCAGCTACTGCAGAGCTGCGTTACGACTGCAATTCAAGAGGTATGACACAAATCCCACTGATGTGTTAATTGCCATGGCCAACTTTTAAAGTGACCAAATAAAGGGAGTCACAACTCGGCTCTCGGCTTTCGGTTTTACAAATTTATTGTAGTTAAATCGGACGGTGGACAGGCAGTGAATCAATCACTGCAAAATGCAATGCGAGCACAGACTACGGAAATACAAATACTTTTTCTCTCATCTGCATAAATACATATACTCTTCACAACTTGTTGTTTTACCCTGTATTCACATTTCTTACTCTTAAAGGCCAGTCGATAAGGTTAATGCACATTTGTCGCAATTGCATTGCGTCTTTCAACGGACGCCGAGAGTGTCAAGTAAGAGGAGGTGCTTCCGAGATAGACTTCTCTGTCATTATTACGGGCTATTAGTTAATACCGCAAATCTATAAGTATGCAGAAATTAACCGTGTTCGAATTGCCGTTCTAATGCTGTGCAAATAATTGTGTTTTTAAGTCCATTAAAATGATAAAATACTCAAGTAAAATCAATTTATAGAGCAATCATATCAATTTATAACTATTTCTGCACCGAAGAGTATAAATAAAAAAATAGCTGAAGAAATTCGAATAATTATTGGTATTTAAAGATTTACAAAGTCAATGCAAAGAGTTGCATGTTGCTTAAGCTAAATGTGTCTTGTCATTTGAAAAAGAATCATAAACAGTAGATAGTTCAAAGACCAAACACTAATATTCACCAGTTAGAAATTGCACAAAGCCAGGCTCTGAGAAGACTTTTCAAAGTTTCTTGGTACATTAGGACGTATGACATCCTCAGGGACCTCAAGATTGATCCCATCAAAAAATGCATAAAGGATAGAACCCTGAAATTATTTGCGAAATCTGACAGACTTACTAACACCGCGTTATCAAATCTCAGAATGGTTACAGGCTCCTCGGGGAGGTATGCAGATCTGAGGTCAATCATTGCTTAGTCTGATGAAGTGATAAACAATAATCCAGTCAAGGCGCAAAGAGGGGTTTTGAAGAAACCTCGCAGTTAATAGAGAATAAAAGTGCTCAGGTGCACTGACTCAACTAGCCTCAACATAATCGTAGTACCAGATATTACCATCTCTGGTCAAATGTCGCACGCTGGGACAACACCTACTACCATGCACACTTCTTACATAAGTGTCGGAGTGGCACCGGGATTTTAGTAGTCTCTTTGAGAGGTATGCCTACCGTGGGAATACTTTAACATCTTTACCGCAGGGAGGGAAGAAAATACAAATGAGGTATAATTTGTTATCAAGCAGCGCCGACATTGTGTTAACTCAACGTGTTAACCTGAAAAAGACATGGCTATGGCGATTTCGCCAGATAACCGGTCCCTAGTCCGGTCCTTATTTCACTGTTGACTGAAGTCTTAACGTAATTGTAAAGACGAACCCGGTCTTTAGTCTGTAGATTATCGCAAGTGTCGCGTCAAAAAAAAGTGCTTTCACTACAAGTAACTAATTCCTCAAAAATTTTGGTCCATAGAATTGATTGACTGAACAAATTTTTGCAAGACTGTCTGCAGACCTAATACTATTAATTCCTGTATGACCACGTACCCAGCAAATTACTACCAAGTTTGTTTTGGAAATTTTTTTTTTTTGGTTGTAAAATTGCCACTATTCCAAATTACTAGATTACCGAGTAATTAGATTAATATACCTAATATGCCGTTAGATATATTAATTTCTCAGTAAAATAGCATCTGATAATTATAATTATTAGTAATATAAACTATCTTTCGATAGCCTTGAAAGATCGGAAATAAAAAACTACGAATATACCAGACAATAATAAAACCGGTAGCTACATATGGTTCAGAAACATGGACAATGACGAAGACGGACGAAGAAGTTTTAAAAATTTTCAAAAGAAAAATAGTTCGCCAGTCCAAATTGATGCAAAAACTTTTCAAAGCAATGAAAATATAGTGAGATACATTAAGCTACAATGGTAACAATGGGCTGCTCATGTAGTAAGAATTGAACCGGAGAGAAAGCCGAGTAATATATATAACGCAAAGCCGATGACAAACAGGTACAGAGGTGGGCCGAGAACATGATGAGATGAGAACGTAAATGGTGCTGCAACAACAATTCGACTACTGAACTCTAATCAGTATTCTAATGAAATTGTTTAGTCATGACAACCTGGGTGTCATTTTAATGTAACATATTTTCCATGCCTTCAAAACAAACAAGGACAATGTTTTTGAAGAATAGATGAAAAATAAAACCTAAACGTTGTTAGCACTCGAGTCAATATCTATCGTTTTAACCTAACGTTCCTGAAACAAGGACATCAGTGCTAACAATGAATAATTAAAAATTCTCGTTACTTTTTGATCATACCTCTCCCCTACAAGTATTTTCGTACAACATAGACTTGAGGCTAAGGGTACAGGAAATTGTTGACTTAAAAATAAAAAGCAAGTCTCTTTATGGTAAAATTTAAAACCTTATTCCAAAAAAAAAAGAAAACAATACTGAATATCCTGTTCGCGGGTTAATTTCTCCCATTTCTCCCATCGCTAAAAAGAAACAATTTAGCTTTTTCAAGAGGTTTTAGTACCTTTTATTTTTTTACTAGCATTAGCGCATGAGGATTATAAAAATATGTTCCCGTGCAGATGAAAAGAAAAGAGCATAGAGGGCTCTTTTGTATATAATATATATAAATATTATTGAAGAATAAAGAATTAAAAACTTACAAAGTAACCATGTTCATTGAAACGTGCTTGCAGTGTTCTCATTACAGCATCTTCGGTGAGTGGTCCTGGTAGGTGTATAAGATCCTCCAGTTCATATGGCTGCTTATAGGTATGGGTATTATGATTAGTATGATTGAAATGATTTCTGTGATGTACGACATTTCCGATATTGTTATTGTGATGATTACTGTGTTTATTGTTGTTACTGGCATTAGAGTGACCTAGTCTAGGAGGCGGTTGTATACCATTGGCAGTTGTAACAGCAGCACTTGCACTTGAAAATCCAAAAGGAAAAGTGGTAATGTTGTGACATGGATTAACATGTTTCTGAACCGGTAGAAATGGACTACTATGATTGTTTATGTGTGTATTGTGATGTGATGACGAACGCATTGGTAATGTATTCGTTGAATGCGGCTTTGATGATGGCATGACCAAAACATTTGTGTCGGGAAAACCGTGTGCAGATGTTTGAGCTAAAAAGAGTAAGTATAGATTTATGGGTTCCAATCATATTAGTAAGATTTTATCTTCTTTTCTTTTTTTTTTTTTGATTTTTGTTTGTTTCTTATGTATGTAATGTAGCTAAAACGTACCAGCTGCCTTCTCGCTAATCTGATGCGGTAATGGATGTGGAATGGATGTGTTACGTGCTGAGACTATGCCTGAAGCTGTTGAATTATGTGGCAATGTATGACTAAATGTGTGTGAAGTCTAAACCAGAAAATTTATTAGTGAGTTACTTAATTAGTTAATAAATGTGAGTTAATAAATATTAACGCCATGGAACCAGAGTTTACCTTATTATTGGCAATTATGTGATTAGTGTGATTGGCAGTAGATGGCGTTAAAGTGGCATTACTTAAGTTATTATTTGTATTTGTATTATTTAATGCAGATATTATATTTGCATGATGTTGTTGTTGTACTGTACTATTACCATTTATTAATGCTGTACTGGCAGTCGTTGATTTCGTTGTTGCGAGGGCGTTGGCAAGTATACTATTGTTGGTGGTATTGTTATTTGTATTATTATTGTTAGCATTGCTGCTGTTGCTATTAATATTGTTATGATTTAAATTAAGATTTGGACTGGATGCATTTAAATTAAGGTCAGCAGCAATGGGGCCGGATTGTGTTGCATTTAATGTAGCACCAGCATTAGTAGCACCGGTGCCAGTACCACCAACACCCTGTCCTTGCCCAACATGTAGGCGATTTCGCAGTGTGACTAATTCGGTGCTCAGACTCTTTAGTCGTTGCTGTAGGTGCACTGCTTCATTGGATGATGAAGCGTCTGTAAGATATAAAAAAAAGATTTAACTTATTAAACATACGAGTAACACGTTAAAAACATTTAAGAAAACGATTAAACTCTGGTTATATTGCGTAGTTGACATTTAATAGATTTTATGATACGTGTAAATAATTCATTAATTTTTAGTAATCATCGCAGATCATTTGATATTATTATAGTTATCCTAGTGATGTTTTAAATCGATTTTTAGCTGTTCGATTAAACTCTTATAGGATGCTAAATTGGGCTCTATTTTAAAACTATTTAATATTTGTGAACTGACGATCTACCGTATACCTCCTAATTTTCAACAAAATCTATTTTTCATACACTTAGACAATAGTGATATTTTGTACAAGCTACGATTTTCGATGTAGATTAATTCTTCTTCTTCTTAGTTGGCCATTACAGACGTGAATCGTCCTTGGCCACGTCGAATGGACTCCGCCAGCCAGCCCTATTAGTTGTTTGCTGTCGCCAGTTGAAAGTACCGAGTGCCCCTAATTCGTTGATTATCTAGTCCTTCCACAGAAGATGCAAACGTCCCCACCTGCGGGTACCGAATGAAACACCTTTTTAGCCGGAGCATTTTCTTCCATTCGCACGACATGATCAAGCCAGCGAAGCCGCTGAATTTTTATGCGCTAAACTATGTCATTGGCGTGGTATAGCTCATAGAGATGTAGATTAATACTCTAATAAAATATACTTAAAAAAATACTGCAAAGAACTTATTTCAATAAAGTCTTTCCTTTAAGAGATTTCTAAACTAAGAACTCTGAACGGTGTTCACTCATTATTACACCCCAATTGCATGAAAATTAGAATTTGTTGGTAATTAAAAGATATACGATAAATTGTTATTTCACAAATATTATAATGTTGTAAGACCCTACAAAAACGAAGCAGAATACTTAGAAAGCTCTTAAGATATGCTAAGGGATAAATTTGCAGAAGTGTCTGTTTATCCACTTGGCCGGTGCCCATTGAAACCTGTCAACATATTATCTATGATAAAAAAATCAAATAGCACAATGACTGTGGTATATGGTATTATTCTATGCCCTATGAAAGTTCAAAATTTCAGGTAGCATATTTTATGAAGTCATTTCTAAGAAATAATAAAGTATGATATAAATTAACATTTATATTATGTAGATATCAACAATTTTCAATACAATAAGGAGAAATCGGAGAACTTTAATAATAAAATAGTTTGGTACGTGAAAAATCATGATTGAATTCCACAACACTGTTTTAGATGATGGATGAGTAGAAAGGTACGAGTTTCTCGCGACCACAGAAAACAATAAAGAAAAGCCTCGGGGAAACTCGAAGTAAATAAACGGCATGAAGATAAAATTCTGAAGCCATCTCCAATGTGCATACCAGCAGTACATAATATTAGTAAAACGATACCATATATGAACATTTACAGGTAATATTTCATCGTACGGCTGTCGAAGAGTATAGCCAAGGCAATTATATTTCCGACGCTTGAGTTGTTTGTTGATACCATATAGGTTTGTTCGTTGAAGTAATTCCTTATTTAAAATTATGCGTGGCTATCAAGTTCTCAAAATATTACGCAGGCATCTGTTGGTAAAGCTTTAAAGTTTTCTTTGTATTTCACTGTTCACCAACCAAGTTTCTGACCCATACAATAGAACGGATTTCACACAGATATTGTAAATATGAATTTTTATTTGACAAGATACTTCATTTAAGCTCCATACACTACGAAGATTACTGAACAGTACTCTGGATTTTGATATTATGCTATCTACATCTCCTGTTGCACCTCCATGTGCATTAATGTAGCTCTACAATCGATTGTAAAAGGAGTTATTAATGTACTCTTGACGATGTGTGTTTTGATTTTAGTAACATTAACACATTATCCAACCCTAGTCGCGAGTTTTACTACATCATTGATTTTTGCTTGTAGGTTTTCTCTTTTCGAAGAGACAAGCAATAAGCCATCAGCGTAATCCAGATTTTCAAGGTGTTGGTAAACTTTCCAAACTATCCTTCTCTTTTCATAAATAACTCTTTTGAGGACAGCATCAGGAGTAATTGCAAATATCAACGGTTAAAGCAAGCACCCTTACTTTACACCAGTGAGCGTAAAAAACTGTCATCTACATTGTCGTTGTATATGACTCGAGCACTGGCCTCATAGTGTTGAATGTTAATTAAATTTTCTATTTTTTCTGGCGCCTCTATGCTTCTTAGCGCTGGCCATATAACTGCTGAAATATTTTTGCTATATATAACAAAAACCCTCATAGCAAATCAGAATATAGCTTGGATCTTATAAAGCCAATATCACAACACGAGACGCTAAACATTGTTCAAACTTCTTTTATACAAACTGCTGGAATCAAAATTTTGTTTGACAGAAGATATATTATGAAAATATATACTCAATAAGTACGATAAAATTTTTTTCAGTTTTAGTACTAAACACCCCTGGTAGGGTTTAAGAACAAATCGAAATAATTGTAAATAGTTATAGTGAATAATAAATACATGATATTGTCGAAGATAGTAAATTAACTTAATCCAAAACTCATAGAACTCCACAGCTATATAGTGAATACGAAAGCTCTTCTTTGCCCTAAAGGCTTGCCTCAGATGATCTACAGTTTGGTGTTTTTTAGTTCCGACCTTACTTTTTAAAACACCCCAGACCGAGAAATCTAAAAGATTTATATCAGTGCCCACTGTGTTGATGGTATAAAGCACGAAACGTTGTTTTTCAGCCATCTGCCCAGAGCTTTAGTCAAATCGTTAGATTTGAACGTTTATTTTTACCCCACGGTCGATGAACACGAACGTAGAGCGTCCATCGACAGTTACGGCTGCTCACACCATTACCATCGGTGGCGCCTGCTTTCTGGGGGCCATTCATATGTTTAAATTTTCAGCTGACCTCTCTGACAAGTGAACTCGATCATTTTGCTTGTTCACGTACTGCTCAACAACGAGCAGCCAAACCAACTCTTTGGCTCTAACTTTTTTGTTCATCGGTAAGATCATGTATGTTACTTTAATCAACTTCAATGGTTTAAGTCGGAGCTCATGTTGCATCCTTTCTTGCGATACGTTTAACTCCTTTGCCATTTGATAGCAGCTACGATAAGGGTTTCGCTCAATTCGCTTCTTCAATTTACGAATTATTTCTGATGTTGTTACTGTATTTTTTAGTTTTGGTCCACTTCCTAGGCATCAGGCAACGCTTCCAGTATCACGGTATCGAGCTATGGTACGAGACAGAAATGATTTGTTAACATTTAGGTGCTGGAGGGTTCGAACGATAGTCACTTGTGTTTTTTCAGCCAAATATAAAGTAATCCCACTAGCATGTTTGAACTCCATCACATACAACTTCTTTTCTACAACACAAAAATCAAAATGCCTTCACCATTTAGATGATCCACTATAATAAAAGCTCCGTTGAATTCTAATAATAAGTTATTCAGATGATTTTATAGAAACATACCTTGCAGCTCAGCATATATTCCTATAGGAAGATACTAACTATGGTAGAAGACTTCGCAGGACTTAAACAAAGCAAAGCACTGATCTAACCGTACTCCTACAAAAATATTCTTAAATTTAATTTAAGAAGGTAATTTAAGATTGATAACAGTTTTCATTACGGAACATTATGGTCTGAAATATCACGATTATCTGTTAAGGCGGAATGCAGATTATGTCACGAAAATGAGGAAACTACTATGCATATTTTTTGTGACTGTCCAGCTTTAACAAAGCACAGAAGAAACTTATTTCGTATGGTATTTCTGTGACCAGAACAGATTAAGAGCTCTTCTCTGAATTTAGTACTGGACTTTATTCACAAAGCTTTGTGTAATCAATAGTGAAATTGATACAATAGGACTCTTCTGACCGCAGTGCCGGCTGTTGAGTGATTTCACGTCAATAATTTTAATAATACAATAATAAATAACTATGTTTTACATAAACAGACATTTATATTAATCGTGCACAATTGCTTGTCCTACATTTTCATTTTTATGTAAAGTGTATTCTTTTAAACAGAAAGTTCACTTAATAAAAATAACGACTTATTCCAGCGATGTTCTTTAAAAAGAGCTTTCACTATATATTATATATTAAGATATGTCATAGCGATGAGACGTTAAGACAGGATATCTGACAAAATACCTCTCATTATTGCGATGAGACGTTAAGACGATGAGATATCTGACAATATACCTTCCACGACTCATATTTAAAATTTGAAATTATTTGATTGGGATTGTGCCACGAAAGATGTCACGTGTATACAATCCATACAATTTCTTATCGTAAGGGTTTAAGCTTTCACTACAGATATTATGGCAGGATATTAGGATGGATTGTGCCTATATATAACAATACAACTCTCATAAGTCCATTTTAGGGTTTTAGTCAATAATGAAACGTTTCTGATTAGGATTGTGCTAGAGTTGATGTCATATATAAGTATTCAGGCTATCTTCTACCATAGAAGTTCAAGGTTCCCGACGATGCACTTAAGCGAAACAAACGAGTACTGGAAAAATGTTAATAAATTCCTACACTCTTTACTTAAACCAAATATATTTTTTTTCTGATGTTATTTTAAAATTAACAGTTTTATTTTTAGCAAAGTTGTTCTCAACTTTGGTATGTGGAAGTTTAATGACTTTTTGAATAGAAAAACAAATGGTATTTTAGTATCACTGATCCAACAGATGTTGTTGAAATATTTATTGCTGTTGTTTGCAATGCAAATTTGTGTTGATTAAATATCTCCATTAAATGATTAGCCAGATAAACTCATTGATTATCTCCAGCAAATACAAGTATTTAGACAGACGGTCTTGTGCCGATTTTGCGGGCGACCATAAAAAGTTTCGATTTGCATAACAAAGCGGAATGTTAAACATCAATTTAAATGCAAATAAAATAACATACATACGAGCAGGTATACTCTTACGTATCTATATATACGAC